TCCCAACCATGACTAAAAAGGGCCAATGTAGAGCACAGGCCATTGCTTCAGAGGGTGCAAGTCCCAAGCTTTGGTGGTTTCCACATGGTGTTGAGCCTGTGGGTGCACAGAAGTCAACAATTGAGGTTTGGTAACCTCTGCCTAGATTTCAGAGGACATGTGGAAACTCCTGGATGTCCAGGCAGAAATCTGCTGCAGGGGCAGGGCCCCCATGGAGAACCTCTGCTAGGGCAGTCCAGAAGGGAAATGTGGGGTTGGATCCCCCAAACAGAGTTCCCACTGAGGCACTGCCTAGTGGAGCTGTGAGAAGGAGGCCGCTGTCCTCCAGAACTCAGGATAATAGATCCACAAACAGCTTATATTGTGTGCCTGGAAAAGCCACAGACACTCAATGGCAGCCCATGAAAACAGCCAGGAGGGAGGCTGTACCCTGCAAAGCCACAGGGGTGGAGCTGCCCAAGACCGTGGGAACCTACCTCTTACATCAGGATGACCTGGATGTGAGACATGGAGTCAAAGAAGATCATTTTGGACTCTTAAGATTTGACTGCCCTGCTGGATTTTGGACTTGCATGGGGCCTGTAACCCATTTGTTTTAGCCAATTTGTCCCATTTGGAATGGCTGTATTTACCCAATAAGCATACCCCCATTGTATTAGGAAGTACCTAACTTGCTCTTGATTTTACAGGCTCATAGGCAGAAGAGACTTGCCTTGTCTCAGGTGAGACTTTTGACTGTAGACTTTCAAGTTAATGCTGAGTTAAAACTTTGGGGGACTGTTGGGAAGGCATGATTGGTTTTGCAATGTGAGGACATGAGATTTGGGAAGGGCCAGAGGTGGAATGGTTTGGTCACATTTCCACCCAAAACTCACCTTGAATTGTAATAATCCCCACATGTCAAGGGCAGGGCCAGGTGGAGATGATGGAATCAGAGGGGGAAGTTTCCCCCATACTGTTCTCATGGTAGTGAATAAATCTCATGCAATCTGATGGTTTTATAAATGAGCGTTTCCCTGCACAAGCTCTCTTGCCTGCTGCCATGTAAGACATGACTTTGCTCCTCATTTGCCTTCTGCCATGATTGTGAAGCCTCCCCAGCCATGTGGAACTATGAGTCCATTAAACTTCTTTATAAATTCCCCAGTCTCAGGTATATCTTTATTAGCAGTGAGAGAACAGACTAAAACACTGGATATACACAGAAAAAGGTTATTTGCTTTTAGACACCTACATGGGCACTGGTGCCCCACATGAGTCAGTGTTTTGTAGAGGCCCCTAGGATCATCAGTTTGCAAAGCTGATAACTAGATCAGCTTTATCAGCTTTGCAAACTGATGGAAAGTTTGCTAGAAAGAGAGGGACGCTATCTCCCTGGTGCATGCCAGTTCACCTAATGAATCCAAGTTCATCTAATGCTCAGTTCACCTAACAAATCATGGAGAATGACGCACACACCCACAGCTGTTCAGTGGATAGAGGAGCTATCTTTCACCCTGAGATTTATAGTTGTTGTGTTTAAAAAATGCCTAAAAGGAGTCAGTTCTGTTGTGTCCTTTTAAATGACGTGCACTATCTAAAAACCATTTCAGGGTCACTCAGTGAAGAAGCTGTGCCAGGAGACTGGGAATATCTTCCAAATCCTTAAGCAAACAGTGCTGAAAACAAACTGCCGAAAGAAATACAAGCATATGACTTTAAAATGATGCCTCTGGAAATAAGGGACATACAGCAGCTGCCAGATGTTCATGATCCCACCTCCCCTACTTAACAAAGGCACCTATATTTCACCAGAAATAAAATTTTATTAGTAACATGTCAAATGTTTTAAAATACAATTACCTTTCTTCTTCCTCTCAGTTTAAAAAACAATCCAATAAAAACTCTAAATCATGACCCAAATATTTTTAAATGTGAAAAAGACATATTTTAGATTATGTAACAGATACACATTTTCCCAAATAAATGTTGTAGAACACCATCTGCTTGATATTTGAGTGCATTCCCACAGAAATAAATTCCTGCTTCTCTTCCTTCATTAATGGTTTATGACAAATTTATGACACTATATTTCACAATAGTTATACCAAAATTTTATGACCAAAAGAGCCTGACAAAAATCACTTGGCATGCTCAAATTAGACAATTTATGTGACTCTCTCATTTACACCAATCCTCCACCCCGTACTGAGACCCCAGCGACTGAGGAGAAATAGAAAAAGTACAACAGGGGAAGGATCTCTCACAGAATAAAGCTCAAAAAAGAGCTCAAGACAAGAAGTTACAGATCCAGGTGCCATTTTCAGCTCAGGTTTTCCATAATCTTCAGCTTATGCAGCTACCCAAAATTCTGAATTTAATGTAGGATGTTTTTGTAAGGTTGTCTCAGATTTTGCCAAGCAAGAAATTGCTAAATTCTTGTTAAATGTGAACAGGATTTCATCTTTGTTACCAAATGGAGCTCCCTGATGTGAATATAATCAAGAGGAACATCAAGAAGAGAAATTTGCATGTGTCATCTCCTGACTGATAAGAATGGTACATGACTCTACCCATGTTCCTTTCCTGCACTTGATATAGAGAAAACTTGTAAGAGGAATAATCTTTGCATTTTACTCTGCAAAGTATTATAGTATTTGTGGCAAATTTAGAAAACTAGTGTTATGGTTTTCTGATTTTACTTCATGCATTTTACTTCTTAAAAGAAAAAAAATCCCACAGAACACAGACATGAACACAGAGTCTTTGAAAGTTTAAGAGTATAGGCTTCAGTCTGCATGTTTCTCCAATGATGTAGACTCTCCCAACTCAAAGTGTGGTGCATGGATTGGCAGCATCCACATCACCTGGGACGTTCGAGAGATGAAGACCTTCATTCCTCATCCCAAACCTACTAAAAGGAATCTGTATTTTCACAAGATCCCTAGTGACTTGTAAGCTCAAGAAGCACTAATGTAATGTCTTTAATCCACCCAACCCTAAAGGATAATCCTTGAGAAAGACGAAACTACTTTAATGGGGAAATTTTGTCCATAACATTCAATCAGGAATGTACCAACTTTTAGACATGGCCCACTTAATAAAGAAACAAAAAACCTGAAATTTGTCTTGGGGCTGCTGTATAGTAATGAAGTTTGAGAATGAGAACATATAAGTTAAAATGTCATATGTTACATAAATATTCAGGACCTGATTAATTATACACAACCTTCCATTGTTTCCAACCTAAGTAGTTTCTTTTGTGAGACATATACAACTGTTAACTATTACACTGAATTCTAGAAACATGAAGATTGCCTTAGTAAACAATTATTTAATGACTAAGTGCAATAGTTTCAAAAAGAATTTTGTTCAGCCAGTAATGACCATGTTACTATGATGAATTCTCACTTGATACACTCCAGAAACTTTCCCAAAGGAGTTCAGCCAGTACTGCAAATTGTTACTTTCCCCTTAAGTATCAATGATAGGGAGCAAGCTGGGGGCGAAGAATAGAACTATAACTTCCACTTACAATGGACTATAAAGACTGGGGTCAGGGTGTGATTTAAAGAGGAAACCACAGGGAGAGAAGGAAGGTGGCTCCAGTACCCGGTGTTAAGAAATACTGAAGTTCATTCAAGCAATTCACCAGCACAAGGCAAATTAAAGAAGACTGCCCCTCTGACCTTGCACACAATATACACAACTTTCAGGCTGTGATTTATTGATTCTCTTTCTCCTTTAAGGCTCTCCTTAACATTAATATTAATCTGACTTGTCCCATAAAAGAACATGGAAGCCAGATAGGTAAGGGGAAAAGGAATTGTTCCCTACCTGATTGGTCTCCCTACCACACCCACGAGATATGCCCCAGGGATGGGCTGAGGTCAGCCATACTTCCCTTAGGCAATAGTGGCTTTTTGCCAACAGTAAATATTCTGTAAAGCAAAACATATCCTCTCCTTTCCTTCTAAGATCTGGGTCAGGAAAACTTTCCTTCACCTTGTGCATCTTCTCACCTGCAAACACTTTTTGAAAGACACATTTGATAGCCATCCCAGTTTGGAAAAGGGAAATGCAGGTACTGCATTTGGATTTGGTAAAACAAAACCAAATAATCTGACTTCTGGGACTGTGCATTATTCACTTATGTATCCCCAGCCCTAGCACAGTGCCTGGCTCATAACATCTGCTCAATAAATGGTAGTTAATTGCACTTATTTTCAAGTCTTCTAGCACTGAGTTTGTTAAATCTTGGGTGTTACATTGAAACCAGATAATGCATTGGAACTTATCCATTTTCCATTTATACACAGGCTTATCCTTTAGCCTTTCCCTAACCTTAATTATTTTCTATTTTTCCTTTGCTTATCCACCCAAGGAGCTCAGTTTCAGGGATATTTTACAGTGTTCACACTTTGCAAATAGTCGATATGCTGAAAAGAATCTAGTCTTACTCATCACAGTGAATGAAAGAAAGGAGCAATACATTGCAGAGATCAGGTGTTCTGTGTACAGCAGACATGGGAAAGCAAAATTGAGTATAGCAAGCAAGAACACCCTCCCACACAACAAAGCAACTTTTTCTTTCACTTGCTAATCCTACTCTTTACTTCTCTGGCCCTGCCCTCTTTTTCTTCTTTTCTTCATTTTTCCTCTTCTACTTTTCTATTTTCTTCTTCACTTGGCCTTGAGGCTAGTTGGACACCCACAAGAAAGATAACATTACCAAAGGCTCTCCATTTTCTATCTCACCTTCCTTATCATAAGGATGGCTCTTGCCACCAGAGAAAGGATGTCCAGGTTTAAAAAAAAAAAAAAAAGGTTGTAACTGGTCTTCCACCTTTTGCAGCTCCTGTAACAAAGCCCGCTGGGTAGTCAGCAAAGCAAGCCTGTGTGTGGGTCTCCCTGTAGATTAGTTTGCCGTGCTAAAATCCCGGTAGTCTATTAGTTAACCCAGAAAAGTTTACACATTTTACATACAAATTTTCTAAATCAAGATAACATTAGTCAACCCCTTATCTATGAGTTGTTTATTGGAAAAAATAATTAAATGCCCTACAAGATATTTTTTAACTACCTGTTTCGAGGCAGACACTTTTTTAAAAAAGCATATTAACAAATATCACAGGGGAGGGATAGCATTAGAAGTACCTAATGTAGATGACAGGTTGATGGGTGCAACAAACCACCATGACACGTGTATACCTGTGTAACAAACCTGCACATTCTGCACATGTATGCTAGAACTTTAAAAAAAAAAAAAAACCCACTGGTTTTTAAGACAGTTTCTTCTCGATGTATGAATGTATAGATCAGAAAACTCAGTTAATGATGTCATCAAATAAAACAGGCTTTTATATCTGTCACTGGTTCATTGCTCAATAATTCTTTCTTCAAGATTTATTAAATACAATAAATATTACAATGTCACACTTTTTTCATATTTTTTCTCTTCCTCTCTTCTCTATGCCAAAGTATATGTATTTCAGTCCTCAATCAATTTCGATATGTGGCAGTTTTGTAAGTCATATCTGTTACCATTGGTGTCTTTTACTTATAGACACTGTCCTAAACCAAGTCAAATGTTCATTTCAGAAAATATTTTAAAGTATTAGAAAGCTAATTCTACCTTTAAAATTGTATGATGGTGTAACTATCCCATCAAATTTGGAGTTTTTCAAATAAGATCTTATTTTTTAAAATAAGTGTTCTGATTAAGTATTTTATAAGCAGTGAAATAAAATTTTTGAAACTTTGGTATCAAATCTTGCCCTCAAATTAATTTTTAAACATTTAAATCTGTATTTCAAAGCTAACTCATTTATACTAAATTGCCTTTAAAAATTAACCTAAATTATAATTTTTTAGTTTCTTCTAAAGCATTTCTTCCTACTTTGATTGAGTAATTAAACATAAGCCTCATAGTCTTATCAATAATATATCTATGTGGTCTTCAACACTGCAGGCTAATTAGGGAACCAATACTCTTTATACCAACTGAATTCATGTTAATCACCCCAGTGATTAATTAGAGGGACCAAGTATTGAATCAAAACTAAAACCAAATTTCTCTTGAATAGAAGAAAGTCTTCTTGGTTACAAGATGGCATCCAACTAGGGAAGATACTTTGTTGACAAGTCACCATACATAGATTTTTTTCCAAGGCATATGATTCCTAAAGGTCTGTAGTATCTTCATTTAAAGCAGTGCCCTTGATTATGATTATTACGTGTAAAGTATTCTGAAAGCACATTAGTAAGCAAATCATTCCAAACCCCTTTAACCATGTTCTTCTTATGTCCTATGCAACCCTTACTTTAGATTCTTATCTTCATTATCATAGTCTTCCTAACACTCATCTTTGAGTCTTTGGTATTTTCTTAAATACACCTTTGGCACCTAGTTTTTCCAATCTGTTTTATCAGTTAATGACAATTCTTTAAATGATACGCTCCATAGGACAAAACTTCAGACATTGAAATCAGACATCTCACTCAAACCTGAAAGAACAGTATGAACCACTTCAAACAATTTCGTAAATCTATCCAACTTGTTAAATAATTATCTGTCAAATTGCAAAACATAGGGACTTACCTAAACTTCACCACCAAAGGCATTCTGAAACAATTTGTCAAATAGTGAATGATCAGCTATTATACAAAAATCAGTGCAAAGTTTCATCCAGGCAGCCTTAAATGTACTCTTAACTAGATGAAGAAATAACATCATGTGGAATTTGTTGTTCTCATTAATTTTTGTAGATAAGGTTTCTAAAAAGTATCAACTCATTAAAAACAAATTTACCTCCCCACCCTTTTCCTGAGCTTCACAGCCTGTTAAAAAAAAATAAATAAAACTTAAACTGCTAACTAAAGGCCCACCACAAATTTTAACCAACCTGTAGAATTTAAAGATAAGCCCATCTGCAAGGCTATTTTGTTAAATTTCACTTTTAAAGAGAAAAGTCTAAGCCCTCCCCACAAAATAGTAAAATGGATCAGTTTGGAGTAATCTGGTCATTACACTCAGCAGTTTAGTTGCAGTGTCTTTGCCCCATCTTGAATTGCTATTAATGGTAAAAGGAAAATGGTATCAAACAATTATTTGGCACAATGCTTGACAAGTCAAAGCACTTCAGAAAGAACCAGCCCTTCCTCATGTCATTTACAGAAAATTAAATGTGTTCCACCCTTCATCCTCAGGGACATGGCATTATCAATTTAATCTGTTACTTTCATTACTTTCCAGTAAGAGTGGCAGAATTTGGAAATCAGGGCGTAAAAGAAAATTTTTCACCTGTATAATTATTTAACGTAGGCCTCTTCCTACACATCTTATGTTTAAAAAAAATCTTTGCTTCTAAAGCGCTAATTGACCGCTTTATCATATGTGAACATATTTTCTAGTCAATTTGATGATTCTAAGGACTGCTGAGTAATAACCATTGTTCTCTCCAATCAGTTCAGCATGCATCTCATCTTTGATATCAAGTGCACTGGTAATGAGTGCCTTATATTAACATCTTCACTATAAACAGTTCAGGCATTTAGAAACAAAGTATCAATGGACTTAACAGTTACTTTAATTCATTTTATAAATAAGCAACTGAGAATTTTGCTCCAAGTGGCTGCTAGTGTAGCCCATTTCATAAATGGCATTCTCCGAAGCATAAGGCACAATATGATACGAATGCAGCTCTTCATAATAGAGAGACTGAGAACAGCATTCTTGTACCATAAACTTCAGCCGTTTTCTTGTATCAGAATATGCAGTCTTATAACAGGGAGCTTCTTTAAAGTATTCATAGCTCTCTTTCTCCGTCTCTAGATGTATCTTCCTCAGCAAATTGTTAATTAACACAGACCTTCTTAAGTAGGTTTCTGGGTCTTCAAGAAACCTGAGCTTCTCCAGAGAAAGTTTGAGAATGCAAGTTCTGTCCTCAGGTAATATCAGGTGCTGGAAAGCAAACATGATCATTAAATTTATATTTAGAAAAACAAAAACTACAGCTTTTTACTGTTGACAACACTCATAAAAATGAAAAAATAATAATAAATAAACCCTTACTTTTGGAAAATACCCATGGTAATCTTGATGTAAATCTTCTTCTTCTGCATATTTTCTCTTAAAGTAGGCTACTTTCGACGTTGTTAATGTATATGTTAATACTTTTTTTGGATAAGCTAAACAAATAAAAGAATTGGGGAAAGGTCAGATTTTATTGTGGCAAATAGTATCTTATAATATAAATTTTATCTATAAAAATAAACTGGTGATCCTGGAAATTGGTGTTCTCCCTTCAACGTGGTGAAGCAGTGATTGAAAAGCCGGCAGACAGGAAAATACCACCATCCAGACCCAAACTAGATGTTCTAGAGAGGATACCAATCTTTATTTCCTTATGCAGCCCCTCAGAAATCAAATACCAATATACTATTTTATTTCATGCCATTTAATGTCAAAACACACCCAAATTTGAAATGGAATGTAATGGGAGGAGATAAGAAATTTTTCATCATTCTTTTAGTAAAACTGCCCAATATAGAGAGGACATTTAGTGTTACTAGGTTAATCAAATTGGCATAAAATAGTTGGTAGCCCAATTACACTTTAAAGAAATAACAGTGTATCTATAGACAAAACACTCTATGATATGATTATGGTATAGCCATCATCCTAACACATGGTTTAATGGATGTTCTAAGTAAATGAAAGAATTAGGTAAGGTTCTGATTTGCAGACTTGGCCTTGTCATGATACTGAAAGTGAAGACCTTTGTTTTCTCCTTTAAAATACTGTTGCTACCGAGGTTCTGAGTTGTTTAAGGAAGGACGGGGTTCCAGAAGCCAATTTTCACTGATCCTTCAGTTTAAAGGCAGTGCTTAAGGGAGTTCCCAGAGTGTACTCTAGGTGGCACTCATATCACAAAAAGGAGGCAAGATCCACTCTAAAAGCTAAAGACAAGCAGCTTCCTAGAGAAAGCACTGAATGAATTTAGAAAACAAATTGAGTCCGGTTCAATACTCATTCAACCTCAGGGGACCAGGCCAGAAAGAAACTTCATACTTAAACATAATTTATTTTACTCTTAATACACACCGTCAAATATTTCTATGTGTTGAAACCATTTAGTTCACAAAATAATGAATAATTTATGTGTTAGTTAAATAAATCTACAGCAAGACATTTGATGGTTTTCCTCTAAAATCTTAAATTTTTCTAAGCTTAAATATTTAAAATGTGTTCAAGACTTTGCCTTTTCTAGTTTGTCCTCCAACTCAGTGGCATCTGAGCGACAAAAGCTTCCTGCAACTTTTTGTAGTTATATGATTTTCCTCAGTCAGTAAGAAAAGCTACAAAATCACTCCCAAGCAGTCCAATTTTTCACTGGCGTCACTGTGGATTATTAACCAAAGAGAGCCTTAAGTCTGAGTTGTTATGTTTTGTTAACGGAATGAAGAATTTTAAAACACTGGTGTATCTGATCTTAAAAGAAATGAGTATGTCATGATAATTCACAATTGAACTGAAGCAAAGACAATAGTTGCTACTATACTTACACAATCCCTGAATTCAGTAAGCAAACACAGCTTACGTAGAGTTTTCACTGATTTCAAACGTTTAGGAAACAAGAAGAACAAAACTGTATAGAGAACAAAGAAACCAGTTTTCTCAGGGGCTGTTTTTTAGTAAACTGCATTTTCTTTGGTATATATTTTAAGGATTTAACCAAATAATTAGGTGAAGCTTTGGGTTATCCCATGTGACAATTACTTGTACTTACTTCTTTTTAAACTGTTTAGCTAATTGATGTAATAGTAGTTTTCAAATGTTAGTGAGCATCAGAATTATCTGGAGGGTATGTTAAACTCTGAGGGTCCCACCCCCAGAGTTTCTAATTCAGTAGATCTGGGCTAGGAGCAGTGAATTTGCATTTCTAACAAATTTCCAGGTGATGCTGATACTGCTGGTCTGGGGATTGCATTTTGAGAGCCTCTTGTTTGCAGCATTCAGCAGGTGTAGTAGTAGCACTATGGCAACGAGTTAAGAGCAGAACCTTCAGTCAATCAGCTGATTGCCGTATCAATAGAATGTCGGGCAATTGGCTTGATTGATTGTTATTGTTACTGTTGCTTCCCTACACTGGCTTAGATGCTTTAGCCTCATGAACAAAGCCAGACTGCATTTTAACTAAATAGTGAAGAATGAAGTCAGTTTTCCTGGGTTCACATTAAGAAGCATCAATGGCTGTTATTAGCATTATACCTGGGCAGGTCACTAATTTTTTTTTAACAAGTTCTAATGAATTACTATAGTGTAGGTGACAGTGAGGAAAGACTAGAACATGAGATGAGTAACTTTATTATAAGCAAACATGACTTTCTTATATGTATCTTTTTTAAATGTCTGCTCATTTTATCTTCCATGTAATGCAATATCTACAGCATTTACGACCAATTAAAAATCTTTTAATGAGTGATACAAGGGAGGACAGGTGGCAGATTAGAGAACCAAATGACAAACTTATAGTTCTGGCTCCCAAGTGCACCTCCAGGAAAGATATTTTTATTTAACAGATCAAGATTTTAAAAAATCATATCAAATGATTCCAAGGTTCATAAAGATTGTCTGGCTATCATCAACCAGTTAGCCTAAGATACTGAATGTATCAGATCCTGAAAATACACATAAAATTCTCAGGAATTCTAGATTTGAGTCTCAACTCCTCCGTGGGCAACACACTTAGCCATTTAGTTTATTGCTCTTAAAAAATACCCCCATGGGTTGTTAAAAATGCTGAAAAGCCTTCACAGCTGGTATCAGTTTGACAATTACCTCTTTGCAAGCTGTTTAGCTATTTAAAATGTTTTCAGTATCAATTTTGGAGGATGGTTCTAGCCACTTTTAGGTTCAAATATATAGCAAACATAAGTTCCTACATCTGTTTGCTTGGCTGGATTAGAATTCAAAAAATTCATAGCTGATAACTATGTATCTATCACCTGATTGAGCCTCCTGAGTGTCCAGATAAGAAAACTACAGCTCAGACGAGTTCAATAATTTACATTCTGGTATGTGGCTAAGAGTTTGGGTTTTGAAGTCAGATGGAAGTGGTCTGAATTCCAGCTCTGCTGCTTCTTATTTGTGTGACTTTGAGCAAATTACATAAACTCTCTAGAAATCTCATTTGTAAAGTAAGGATAGAAATAACACTGGCTCATAAGATCATTGAAATAATTCATAGAAAGTGACTGGCACTGTGCCTAGCATATAGTAAATACTCAATCAAATTGTAGACCTTATTTGTGCCATTAGTCACAAATATACCACATAGAAACAAAGCCCAGCCTGGCCTCCTAGCTCTGACTCAAAGACTCCACCACCCCGCCTCCCAAAAATACTAGATTGTAATGAGCAAGTTAAAAAACTGCAAGAAGATATTGCAAATGATCAAGTTGAAAAAAAGTAGTACAGATTCTATAACAACTCCAAATATCTCTGGTGTATTGCCATTGGTCATGCATTTTGGGTGAAGGAGGTGTAAACTATTTTTGAAACATACAGATAATCATCTGGATAATTAATTAAAGCTGACCTGACTGTCCAAGGAAGTTTGATTGTTATGATTCAGTAAACATGTGTAAATCTATTATAGTTCTCCTGCAACTAAAAGGCCAAACTCAACCCAGCCTATTATTCAAATAAAGATGACGAAATAGACAAGAAAAAAATGAAATGACTTTATGTCTTCTTATTCTGAGTGTTCTGAGCTCTGAGAACAGTATGTAAATTACAAAACTGAATTAGGCTGAGCCTAAATTTATCTCTGAAAGTGAAATGGCTAATGCTGGCTTGAATATTCAAGCTGTTTCTAATGCTATATCCTCTGGGCCCATAAAATATCTGTGCCAGGCTCAGTGTCTTTGCTAGTATAAAACATCAATAACCAACAAATTAAAAGTTACGGAACAGAGTGACCATCCCTGTCATTAGAGTTCTAGCAATATAATTTATATGTAATTCTTTAAATAAATGTTTAAAATGTAATTACAAATGATTGCTCAAATGCTCTTCCTTATTGCTCTGCTTCTGCCTCCAGAAAACTAAAATCATATTATGGTGCAGGTGATTTCATTTGGTATATGGCCCGGGGACATATATTAAGGAAACATCATGAGCAAATTAATTTACAAACACTTTGAGATAACAGACCACCGTAAAAAGAACAACTCCTGTCAAAGTAATCCATTCTTTATCCAAGACTGAAAAGCTGGAGACATGGTGAAGAAGTGATGAGTTCGATATATCTTAATTTTAGTTTGGTTTTCATTTTTCTCCCCACAACATTTAAATCAAAACATTCCAAAAACAGAGTTGAAACCGTCCTATTAGATGTGTGCGTCCTACCCACAGACAGAAGGGGTGGAGGCTGATCAATGAGGAGAAAGAAGGTTGGTTTCATCTCAGATCAACAACTGAATTGTGTTATAGATAAATCAAGCACCTCAGCTTCACAATCTCTTGCTGATTTTTCTTTGTAACATGTTAGCCTGGCATGAGCCTTTGAAAGCGCAATGGTCCCTATTTAGCTAAATAATGCTTTGCTGGTGGCAAAGCTACTGGAGATGTTTCCTTAAGGGCCATGACCACAGTTGATTAGAAAGAGTTACCCCATCTGTCCCTGCTAACCATATTCTGCAGTCTCGCTGTATGGCTTAAAATACTTCAGCATAACCTTCTAGTTCTGTCCAATGGCCCCAGTTCAAATATCAGCTCTACAGTTTATTTGCTTACTGACTTTGGCCAAGATATTTAACCTCAAAGAGCCTAACTTTTCTTTAACTGTTAAATGGGGGGACAATATCAAACTCATTGAGTTTTACTGGAATTAGAAGAGATGATGTTTAAAAAGCAGTTACTCAGTGCCTGTCGCATGGGCTCATATTTCCTGCTCGATAAATGTTATGTATTATTATTGCAGTGACTTCATTTTGAAATCATAAGTACATATCCTGCTCAGCAGCATTATAGAATACCTAGGACATTGGTCCTCTCTTTAGTGCTAAGCACGGGCTGCATGAAGCATTCACGAATGTATTCAAGAAGGAAGATGGGTGCAAAGTTCAAGGCTATGATTCTGTGCCTTCTGGAGACCTTTGGCTCTGTTGATGTTTAACAACTTTCCATCAGCCATCTTTCTTCTCTCTTATAACCCCCTTGCCTAGCACTTTTCTGGATAATATCCTTTATGGTAGTGGAACTCAGTGCCAGGTTTTATCTCCGAATCAATGGAGCAATCTGTTTCTTCAGATTTATCATCCACCCCAAGCACAATATTGACTTTACTGGCAGTTTAGAATTACCAACAAGTTCCAGCTCCTAGCAGACTTTCTTACGAACTTCCAGGAATAATGAGAGCCAATGACTTAGAAGACTTTCTCAAGATACCAGCAGCATTGTTTGGTACTAGATTGCATCCATGTCCCTTGGGATAACCCCAAGCACAGGCATGGAATAGTAAAGAAAACCCCACGAGTTCCACAAGCCTATCCTGCTCCCATGGTAATGGTCTCTGAACCAAACAGAACACCATTAAGTTTCCCTAGATGCTGCACTAAAGCCAATTGCTGCCATGATCTTGCCCCGCTAATGACAGAGGCCAAATGCAGGAGGCTTCTCGGGTAAACGTCATGATTTTCCACCGCCTAGAAGTGGATTCCTGATTTTGAGGAATGATGTTCCATTTTACCCCATCTTTTACCTTGGAAAGTAGAAATGAATTAGAAAGAAAATTGCTTTTTTGGAACCACATTGCAGTATATCGGTTCCAAGAAATCCATACCTAGAGATATGCTAGAGAGATACTACAACTTCCCTCAATACCCAGGACTGGTACTCAAAGAAAAGACTTTTAATCCCTAACCTATAGATAACAGTGGCCTTTCTAAAAGTACCTGATCTATATCACTCACATTGTCTTCCACTTTGATATCACCACCACCACCACTCCATGCTTCAGTATATTAACAAAAACATCTGTCCGGGCCAATGTTGCTTCTGCTATCCCAGAAGGGATAAAAAACCCTTATGGATAAAAAACCGTAAGATTGAACTAATCTTTAATTTTACTCACTTTAAAACACACGAGGATTTGCCTGGAGTTGGGTGGCTCTCTGCCCTCACTCATATGGTACCCGATTTGTGTTTCACCTGGAGTAGCTCTAGTGGTGAAATAATTTTCATTCACAGGGTACCTTCTCACTAAAGAGCTATAGGTGCTTCCATGGAATAGCGCACAGCCATACTATACAGCCATAAAAAAGAATGAAATCATGTCCTTTGCATCAACATAGATGGAGCTGGAAGCCATTATCCTAAGAGAACTAACACATGAACAGAAAACCAAATACTGCATGTTCTCATTTATAAGTGGGAGCTACACTGAGTACACATGAACACAAAGAACAGACACAGGGGCCTACCTGAGGGAGGAGGGTGAGGATACAAAAACTACCTCTCAGGTACTACGCTTATTACCTGGTGTTGAAATAATCTGTAGACCAAACCCACAGTGACACACAATTCGCCCTTGTAACAATCCTGCACATGTACCTGTAAATATAAAATAAGTTTTTCCTAAAGAGCTATAGATGCTTCATTAAATTGTGTTACGTTCGAGCTCAAGCAATCTACTTAAGCTTGTAGTCTTATACCACACATCAGATAGAGAGAAAATGAGCCATAAAGCAGTAAAATGAGCAGCACATGGAGGCAGAATTGAGGTTCTAGGCTCTTGAGTCTTGACTCTCTTTACAATATTCCCAACTTTTCTTCCTGTTCCTTACTAATGCTCCCTTTTTCTAAGCACTTTGAAAATAATATATACTCTGAAATACACATGCAGAGTAGACTTCCCAGCCTCAAACTTGTTCCTCCTGTCCTTCTACGCACTACTGATATTTAGATAACTCTTGTATTTCTACCAAGAAGCCTTCTTGCTGCACTTTGCTTTCTGTCATTCTTTTGTTTTCTAAATATAAGGCTATATTACAATATTGAGCACAACACTGGTTAGCTCTTAGTGCTTTTCAGTAATATCCTTCCACCACCCCTTCACCCCATCTGAGAATTATTGCAGTGAATTGGATGGCTCTGTTATTAGCCCATTTGTATAAATTTAATTAGAAAAAAAAGAAAATATTAAAAAACTGGTGTTAGATTACAAAGGGTAAACATTAATGTATTAACACTATTTCGATAAACAACTTAAAAAGAAAAAGGAAAAAAAAGAATCTACAAGGATTGGCTTCTCCCAAAACTCAAAAGTATCCTTCCTTCATTTTAGTGCTGAGTAGTTGCGGTCAATGTACTCCTACCTCTGCTTCAGAGTTAGCAGTTTCACTTTTTCTGGGTTTCTGAGGCATATTGCTTTGACAAACAGGGCAATCCGAACTGATTATTCCTTGGCTTTAGAGTTAGTGTTGGGATGCCGGCTGACATGAGTCATCAGTAGAGAGCCCAGGTATGGAGGGAAGGGCCTCAACCTCTTGATAAAAGTTTTCAACATCTCTCTGTGCATCAAAGCATCTTCTAAATTCCATGAAGTTTACATGACATAAAACTGAACATAGAATTTTTCACATATACCTAAAAACTTCCAAATAGAGTATATGAGTAAAAAAGACTGAAATTATAATTTGATTCAGTTTTAACCTGCTTGATCTCAGCCTTATCCAAATGTTATACTCCTAAGTGCATGCCCTCTTTATAACCCATTACATATACAAGTGCAGCTGGTGTTCAGATTGATGAGGGTGACTAGATCCTTAAATAAAAATTGGTGTGGAACTCTGTATACATCTCATGGCAGATGACAGTAAATATTTTTGGTCTCCTTGGGTTGTTTCTCACCATAAAATACAGTCAGTATGATAAATGAAGTAAGAAGGGTGGATGGTGCTAACGACTAACAAAACAAACATTTTTGACAGTTCAAATGCTAATCTTTAATGCTTAAAATGATTAAACCACAGATATTTAAATAAGTGGCTACAGAGATCAATAATCTTAAAGTCTCATGGTATTCATAAATCTGTACGACTAGACCAGAATAAATTTTCAAATAGGTTTCTGAATAAAAATGGTCAGTTATTTATTTTTATAAAGGGAGGAAAGAAATGGGATGAAATGCAGCATGGTCTATTCTTATAAATTTGATTGTTATTTGCTAGGCTAGTTACCTACGGAAAGGGCACAGCACATGTGAAAGTTACAAATGCTGGAGGTCTGAACACTCATTTAAGATGTATTCAGTCTTGAAAATTGAGTTTAAAATGTTGAACCCTCAGAGGTTTCTATCATCATGACCTTATGCAAATTAAATTTGAAGCATCACAATAATCTCTTTCTGCAACTTGGAGAGTTCTCTTCACTTCCTTCATTCAAACAGGCACTCGTGTGCTCAGTAGGCTTCCGCTTGGCATGTTCCCGGAGCCAGGCTACCTAATTTGGCCCGCCCTATTCACATGGGTCTTAGAGAGGAAAATCTGCCAGCCCACAAATGTCCTTTTTACAGAAAACCTCTATTGACTTCTACCCAGCAACCATCTATATAAACAACCCCTTATATTGATCTTGTAAGTTATGGTAATGCTACATTAGCATTCATTTCTCTGGATACATATTTAAACAGTAATTTCTTTTAAGCTAGCAATTACCTGGTAATGCTGAATCAATCCGAAAAGTGTATTTCTAGAACAGTTTCAGAAAATCTGCTGAGAGTTCCCCTTTGCACAGCGAGCATTTCTCACAGCCTCGGGCTCATGAATGGTTACCTGAGATCTTGAAACAAGGAGACAGACACAAATAACATCGGGCGAGTCAGGACTGCACTGATATGAACTGGTTCTCAAGTCAGGAGAAAGCCTGCAACAGGAGGATATTATCTAAGATATTTGAGATGGGGTTGGTCTGGACTAGATAGATAGATAAGCCTTTAAACACACACAATCACTTCAGTGTTCTCCATATTTTAGTTTAAACATGAGAAATCTTAACTCTCCTAAGAAATTTGGAAATAACTGAATAACTCATCTTACTAGCTATTTACTTGGGAGATTATTTTTGGAAGATTATCAGTACGCTGATTTAAAAAAAAATCAGAGTCATTCTTAAGTTTTAATGCCAGATTTTATATAATTTCAGGAAGTATTCCCTCTAAAGTAACAAACCAGGAGTTAACTAAACAGACGAACCCAGTCTTTCTTTAGAATGCACATTCTTTCTCACAAGATTTGAAATCACCAAATGCTACTTTTTCTTTGAAGACAGCATTTCCTTAAAGGGCCATGTTTAACTGCACCTTTTCTACATGGATGTATGCTTACGGATCTCATCATCTTCTAAATTTAGAGAGATGTGCTTTCCAAAGGAAGATAGGCAGCCAATAAGGAGGATCCCATCAAAAGAGAGGTGAGTTACTATGGTTACTTTTCAGGAGGTTGAGTAACAGTGAACGGCTGCTCTTGGCCAAATGGACCCTTTCCAGAGGAGGACCTAAAAAGAATGTTGCTATCCATACGTGTTGATTCAATTAGTCAAGACTACACTATGTCGTTTGAGCTTTAACCACAGGCTTTCTATGGGCGCTTGCTGCTTCCAGCCTAGCCGCATATAGGCAGCTAAGTCAACGGATAAACAAGGACTGAAAACTTCCGAACGCTAACCTGATAGCGAAGAGCAAGGGAATCTTCACCCAAGAACCAATCCCAAGGTTTACATTTAAAAAATCAAATCAGGTCATTTGGGACCAGCAGCTGGCCACTCTTCAATGACTGGGGGCGGGGTGGGATCCCGGAACATGTCCCTATCCTCCCGCTCAAGGAAAGGAGTCTCTTCTGAGCTCGGAGGAAAGCACCTGGCTGGATGGGTCCAGACATACCTTGCGAGCTGGGTCCACTCACCAGATCGGCGCATGCACCTGTTAGGTAGAGGCGCGGGGGTCGGTGCTCACTCCTGCTTTTGGGGCTGTCACTCTTCAGTCGGGCACTGACAGCGGCAGCAGCGGCAACTGCAGCTCGGCGGGCAGCCCTGGCTCCTGCAGGTCCGTCCCTCCAGTCTCTGAAGCGCCTCTCACTCCGGGTTCGCAGCTCTAGGCGGGCGCGCAGCTGTTCTCCGCTCGCATTGGACCACAGGGAGCAGATGTTACCCGGTTGCTAGGAGCGTTGCTAGGAGGCGATGACGCCCCTCCACAGCTCGGGAGCAACTTTCCTGTAGGTCGAGTGCGCTGGCGGGGGCTGCTGGGAGCAAGGTTGAGCGCTGGAACGCCGAGGGGCGGCGAACAAAGAGCCCCGACAGAGGGGTCCCGACTGCGCTCGCCTAAGTTGGGGCTGGCGGAGTGGACTGGGAGGCTGGGGCGGGGCGAGAGCCACGGGCCCGGGTAGGTGAGCGGCCCCGCGCCTCCACCGGCAGGTCACTCGCTGCAGGCCTTGGCTCGATGTCCCCTACGGAGGTTGGGTTTGGGGAGAGGGGTGGGGTGGCACTTTCATCGACTGAGGAAGCAGCAGTGTTTGGCTCAGTGTTGTTGTTGTTGTTGTTGTTGTTGTTGTTGTTGTTGTTGTTGTTGTTTTAGACCCTGATGCTTCCTCTGGGATACTCTTCGCCTTGGAGCAGGGCGCTGAGAAGGGAGAACCGGATGAGTTCGTGGGTGTGACGGGGTGAGGCGTTTGGGGACGAGCAGTACGGGATCTTCTGCCTTCTGGGACTCTCCTCCCTAGTATGTTCGTGTTTGTGTCTGCAGCTTTGAGCACTTGATAGATTCTGAGGAGGGATAGATTAACTAATTCATAAAAATCAGCCCAGAGTCTCATTCCTTTTGGCGTTGTCTGTGGCTGCCTACTGGCAGGGTGCCTCAGATTAAGAAAAAAAAAATGTTCTTGTGGTCTAAAACACGTCCTTCACACAATTAGAAAGTCTTCATTTTGGTCCAACAGCTAATTAAAACCTCAGGCCAACATGTAAACTTCTTTAAAACGAAAATGCAGAAGAGCAAAGGTATTTTTCGCAAAGGAGACTAGAGGTGTGCGTGTTTTAGCACTTCAGTATACTTTAGTGTACATGTACACTTTAGTATAAATTTACCCAATTGGTTGCATAATTTTTCATATCTCACTCAAGCTATGTTTTTATGTTTTACATTGCTTTTTTTGTTGTTGTTGTTGTTGTTAAATAGGGCTGTTTTCTTGGGGATGGGGGATAATTAGAACATCAAAGTGGGCAATTTGGGTAGCCAGTAAGCCAAATTAAAGAAGGGAAGATGAAAAATCTAGTAGAGAAATGTTGCCCAAAGCTATCTTCAGAGGGAGAATCGCACCGAAGAAGAGACACATCACTTTCCTGGTTCCCTGTAGAGTCATGCCGGGGCCTGGAAGGAAGAGAGCACTACTGGGAATCAATTAGAAAGAAAAGTTGCCGTCTTTGGAGCCAGGGCAGGGCTGCTGTGCAGTGTTACATTGATTCCTGTGGTGGCTGGCTGTCTGTGAGGCTGAAGGGGCTGCACCAGTGGCCCCACCGCTCTCAGGTCGCCCTGCTTGCTCTCTCAGCACCTACTGAACACCTGCGGCAAAGCTAACAGTTTGTTAGCCCTAAGATTTAAAAAGCTGGCAACCTAAAATCGAGCTGTCTGAAGAAGTAATCATAAGCCACAGTGGTTTGAAGATCTGATGATAAAGTTTCAGCTATCGGGTATGACAGTGGGCTTTGGGATGGGTACACCTCAAATCCAGGAGATGGTCTTAGCCAGAAGTACACCACTGCTACTTCCTTCTTAGTTGGAATAAGGGCAAGATGCAGCTGATATCTCAATCAGCCTTGTCTTCTCGTCCAGTTCATCTCAAAACACTCTCCTCCTTGCTCTTTAAGGTCCAGTCACGCTGGACATTTTTCAGTTTCCTTGAATATGGAAGGGTCTCACTTGCCTAAGGTATTTTGTACATGCTGTTTCTTCTTTCTTAATGTGCCTGCCTTTTACCTGGCTCACTCCTACTCAGCTTTCACGTCTCAGCTTAAATACCACTTCCTCATAGCAGCTTCTCCTGACAGCCTCCCACCGACTACATTAGCCCCTTAATTACGTTCCCAATTCACCCTACCAATCCTATTTCACAATATTCATCACACCAGATTTTAAGCTAGTGCACCTGGTTAACACCGTGTCCCCAGTGTCTAGCACACAGTGCCTGGTACATCAAAGGTAACCAAGAACACATGGGAATAGATGAATCCACCTGCCTGGTTTGAAGTCCCTGTTTTCACCTTAGCTACGGAGCTATCAGTTCATGAACTTACACTAACCTTGAAGGCAGCCACTAGTTGCTGTCTTTACAGTTACTCAAGCACAAGAGGGGGGCTGGGGGAAAGTCTATTATACAGAAAATAGTTTTATTCCCTTAACGAGACATTGTGTTTATAAAGCGACTTTTTTTCCCCCTTTTCAAAACATCTTATAAAGGTCACTACCTGCATTTTAATAGCATTGGGAAATACTCACCTAAAGTCATTTATATATTTTCCTAATTCTCGTCTTTCCACACCCTCTAAAGTGGTTGTGAGTCCTCTGAGATGAACTGTTTCATTTTTCCTTAAAATACTCCTCTACCTCAGGTAAAAGCAGCCTCCATAATCACATGCTATACCTCTAGGGAGAAAAAAATGTATTTGGGAGCAGCTAGCTAATTTGACCAGTATGGACAGTATGTGTAGTGTTATACTTTATCTGAATAGCCTAGGAAATCTTTTCTATTGTCAGTTTAACTTAACAAATAATTGCCAAATCCCCTCCTCCTCTGGGACCACCTCAAGATATAACAGATGTTGGAAGACACAAAAGAAAGGTCAAGGTAATCCAAGATCACAGGATTCCTTGATGGCATAACTGGAATTAGAAAACTGGTATGATTTTAATCTTGACTAGGTTATTTATGTCTGCAGATATAATTTGATAAATTCTGCAATTCTCCTTGTAAGATTAGAATCTTTCATTAAACAATTTTGGATTTTAAAATACATATTAAAATTCCATAAAACCTACCTTAGAATTTATCCAAATTCTAATCTTCTCACCACTCAATCTTGTTCCTCCTTGAGATGACCATAGATACAAGGCCAATCCTGTCTCCTACTTCTTATCTGTTTGCTGAAAAGAATCAGATGTTTTATTATGTAGTGGAATGCACATTAAAATTTATCAGCACTGTGAAATGTCACCCAAGCTTCCCCTTGAGCCATATTTCTGAATCTTTCTGGGGCAACCCCAGGGAAACTGTAAAGAGACTATGAAGCTTACAATATATATCATGTGATTTGACTTATTTGACTTATCAATAAAATGCTACACAGGATAATCTTTTAATTACTACAAAAGACAAAAAGAAGAAAGAACCAAAGAACTAGAGTCATAGATGGCTATCTCAATTATTTTAACATTTCAGCACGGGTAAGCCTGTGTTGAAGCAGTGTCACAAGATAGCAATCATTTGCCAAGTTTAAGCTCTCCAGATGACATACTCTAAGATTCATATAGGAAAAATGTTTCCTCTGCATTATTCTTCCTTTGCTCATAGTTATATTTGCTTTAATGTTTCCAGTATGCCATATATGTATGTATCTACTAGTGCACATACACACGTAGAAATGGTCAACCTTGCTCAGCCTACCAGCTCAAAACTCTTTACCCTGTGGCTTCGGAAATGTGAACTCAAATGGTCTTTCTCTGCAACAATGCTCCTTCGCAGTGTTGAAATGGTCTAAATCTAAGGTGACTATGGATGTACAAGTAGAAGTAGAACCCTTAATCAGCCGATAGAGTTCTAGTGCTGTCGTGGGTGAGAAAGAACTTAAGCAACCAATAAGTTTGCCATTGGCAAGCTTTTCGTAAATAATCACCAGTACCACAAAATTTCAAATAATTTTTTTAAATGTAAGTATGCCAGATACTGACTTAACAAGAGTCTTACCGATACTGTTTCATTTTCTTGGGTATACAAATAAACTACAATTCCCAGCCTTCTTAAATATAGGTGGAGCCATTGGACTAGTTCTGGTCAATGGAGTTTGGGCAGAAGTGAAGAGCGGCACCTCTAAGCCTGTCCCCTAAAACACATCATTCGATCCTCATGTCTTTTCTTCCTCCCCCATTTGTATGGCAATACATTCCTTCAAAGTCCATAAGGACTCTGAATGACCAAATCACAAAAGACTCAACCCCTGAGATACTGCTAGAAAGAAAGCTGATTGGCCAAAAACATCCCAGATTAGGGAGAAATAAACCTTTCTTATGTGAATCAACTGACATTTTGGGTTATTACAACAGGTAACATTACCTCAACTAATACAGAATTTTTAAATTGTTTAAAAATTGTCACTGAATCATCTATAGAATTTTTTCTCTATGCTTTTCTGTTTGGGGGATGTCAGCCATGTTTTGAGTGCTATGTAGGTGTCTGAATATAATAGCTCAGCTCCCTCTACTTCTAGCTTGTTGCACCTGAGCCTTGCAAACTTACGAGAACTGGGTATTTCATAGAGGGGAAAGTGCTCTGGACAAGAACTTCTCTAATGAGGAATTACACACACTTTTCTACATGAACACCTACACTTTGCATTTTACCTTCTCAGAATCCTCTTTAGATGCAATTTAATTAATTCAGGTGATCCTTACATTTATATAGCTCCTTACCTGATGTTCAAGCCAGCATTTGAACTGATATATGTTGATTTGTATATGTATTCACCATAAAAGCCTACAGCACCCTGAAACCAAATGAACTGTATGGATCATACATGTAATGCTTATAGTTCTAAAATATATGTCTGCAGTTGGTATGGTTTTGAAGTTAATGGTTTTTGTATATACTAAAATAAGCAGTATCATCCAGGCCCATAAGATTTGCATGTTGATGCTGCAAAACTGTATCCTTTTTTAACATAAAAAATTTTCACACATGTACATATAAGCCATCTGCTAAAACTTTATTGATAAAACCAGTAGCAGCAGTTTTACAAAATTGGAATGATTTTCAGTTTTCATGAACTATCATGAATTCAGTTGCAGCAGACATTTTATACAAACTGGGGCTAATGCTTCTTCTATGTTTCTGTTTTAAACAAAAAGCAATTAGAATTTATCCTCATGCATTTA